CAATTTTTAAGTTAAGTTTTTAATTTCTCATTTTTTTTCGAAGAAAATATATCTCTCTATTATTAAAGATAAAAATGTTATTTAATTATTTAAAATATATAGTAATCATACATTCTTAAAATCATTCGTCTTTTTTTGTTATAAACATTTATTTCAAAAATAATAATAATAACCTCTCAATTATTGGAAGAAACAACACAACATGGTCCTACAATCACTTATTTTTAATATGACCGTCAACCTTTGATCCTCCTCGTCATCTATCAATATCTATGTATCCATTATCAGATGCTCTCCATTTGAATATTCCTAAATTTTCTATTTCTTATGTTTTTTTAATTTCGTTTTATCATTTAATAATTATAAAAATAATTAAATTTTTTTTATTAATTCATTATTATCGAATAAATGTTTTTGATATATTTTAAAATATTATTACAAACAGATATTATAATATATTGTAAAATACCAACTATACCTTTTTCTAAATCCAATATATTTACGATCAGAGACTTTCGATTACAATAAATGCAAATTTGAAATAAAATCTAATTATAAATCTCACGACATCCCTCAGATTAAAAAAAAGGTTCTTAGAGATGTGATCATTGTAGTATTGTTTTTTTTTTCAAAACGAATGCCTTCACCTTTATTACAAAAAAAAAAATCATGTTTCTCTTCATCAACTTTTAGGAAAACATGATTTTCATCGAACTTGAATTTTTCTTCAATTTAAATCCTTTTTTCTTGAGCTTTGAAATGTTAAAGTTAACACCTAAGTTTTATTTGTTTTAATTAAATTTGAGGTAATACCCCAAACCTAATTAAACCTAACTTGAAATCATAATCTTTAATAGCAAAATCTTAAGATTAGTACGTTAACAATACGTTAAATCAATTAGAACGGTAGTTTTTCTTACTCCCATGTTTTATTCTTATTAATTTTAAATTGAAACCAACGACCAATAATAATAATGGGTAATCATATCAATCATTCCTATCAATTGATTTTGTTCGTACCTATAGTTAATTCTAACCCAAAGTGAAATTAATCGATAACTTTAATTAAGCATAATTAATGAACGATAATCCACATCGATTGATCACTGATGGATTCTAACATGAAAATGCATATGGTTTTTATTTACTTATTGAATGTTATCATCCGAAAAAAGGATTTACAATGCTAGTAATTCATAGATGATCTTATTCCACTATTGTTTGATGCATATATAATAGGAACATATCAAATAAATATGTGGATCTACTTTATGTACTATCAGATATGACAACAAAATATCACCGCTAGCTCCTCAAATTATATTGGCTCAATGAAACACTTTGACGTTGTTGGATAATTTATATAATGGTCTGAATATCAAGTAGAAGTTGGATGCATCCTTGACTCCTTCTGATGCCCCAAATGGAAGAGAAGGTTGAAACCGATGCTCAAACTTTTATAAAAATTATGTTTAAATCATTCCATTTTAAACTTAAAGAATCGCATAGTTGGTTTTATATTACATGTGAGAATAACTATCTATTAAAAAAATGATTGCAAGAACGATTAGTGGACAAATAACTGCACATCACTTGTAATGTAACTGCTTACACGTATCAGAAGGCAACTCAGAAGCATTTCAGGGCCGAAAGAAGTTTAGACGCTTCTTAATTTCACTTTATGAGATACTTTTAATTGCTATTGTGGTTCTCAAGTAATAAAAATATACTATGATTATAAAGTAGTGCCTAATGTAGTGGTACAAATCACTTTTAGTTGAAAAAAAATTGGTATTGACGTGATAGTTTTGAAAGATGACTATTATTGCAATATTGGTGTGGATCATCTTAGATTTAAATATTGTTGACCCAAATTATTCCGCTACTTACTAGTAAGACTTTCAATGATGCATTTAGGGAATTAAAATTTATGGAAATAGAATGGCTAATCATGTAAGGGTTGAGTTTCTTCTTCCTTTTAACAATTTCAGTTCCTTTCTTACCTTTTCCTTTGATCTTTGTTTCTACAGTTTTACTGTTTCTGAAGTGAGTTTATTCCTTGCCTTTTCAGTTCATATGTTACATCCTTAATTATACTTATCATTAGGGTATGATACATATGTGTATGCCTTGCTTTCAAGATGAAGTTGATTATGAGTAGCCTCTAATTGAGGATATGCATGCCTGGGTTTATCCTTTAATTTCTTCTCTTTAGGTTTAACTTTCTAGCAACCATGACTCATGTGGATGCTTTTCCTTGGATAATAAATGGATTTTTTTATGGGAAGCGTAGAGCCTTTTTTAACTGTGAGTGAGAGGATCAAATTTCTTTCTGAAACTCCACCGAAGACGGTTGGTTATCTTGACCTTTTCTCTTGTCGTATCGGTAGCCAACCGTCTTCATGGTTGTCTCTTGTCCAATGGATCTTGATGGAACATCTTAAGCCCCAAGCTTAGGGCCTTTCTTAGCTGAGGCACGATTCTTTCAAAGAGGCAACATGCAAGTGAAGGCGAGGGCTTTTCACATGCTACACGAAGAGTATGCGTTTGCGAGTTGATTTTATGGAAATTAGTCATAAGGAATAGAAACAACTACTTACCAACAGGCATAGCTTCTCTAGTTCTTCTTTGAACCATTTTCCTTTTGATGATTCTTCTTTTGTCTAGTATTCTTCTATATACACAGGCACTGACGTTTCTATTTCTTGATTATATATACACACACACACATGCACACATATTTTTCGTAGTTAATAAATTTAATCCTTTTTAGCTGATTATATTAATACATAACTTGTGGTTTGTTTGTGGCTGATTAATGTATGCACACATACATGGTAGAGTTTTTCTTGACTGAGATAGATATGAAACATATACACTACTGGATTGTTATTTTTTCAACAACAAATAAACTCACAGACTCGTGTCTCTAAAGAGACTCGAACTCATAACCTACAGGTTGTAGAGCCTCGCTTCACCAAAGTCCTCTTGGTATACACAATTGGTGTTCTAAAAGGCTTGCCCCAACAGCCTGTGTGGCACGCCGTGGCTCAAGATTCAAGCCTCAAGGCTCGTGTTATTTATCCTTGTTATTTGAACCGGCCCCTATATTTCAAATCCACACTACACAGAAAGTAAAAGATGAGTTGGTTGTTGCAGGTTTTACTGCAAGGAATTCCCCCAAATGCAACCATAGAAGACATTGAGCGCTTCCTGGCTGTATGCGACTACGATTCATCCAATATTCGTCTGTTTTTCAGGTCAACACTGAATAGCCTTGGTCTCACCCTCCTCCATCGCAATTGGTCCATGCTTTTTATATCTAATCAAATCTTTGGGTTATTACCGTTGCAGGCAGGGAGCTTCTGGATCCATCCCAACTGCAGCCATGAGCGCAATGATAACGAAAAACAGAGGCTTTTGTTATAATAACATGTAAAATATATAAATGTCAAAATTAAAACTACAGTGTTTAATAAGAACTAGTAGATGTTATAATAAAATAATTTTGAAAGTAAAATGATGTAGTAAGAAAGTCACATCACTRTRGTATACGTGGACARCCTAGGTGGACAATGAGGTGACATGGAAACCTGGTATAATGGGTAAATTTAAATCAAAAGGTTATCCAATGCTATAATRGGTAAATTTTYWAA